TGAGTTGCAGAAAAAAAGTATAAATACCAAAAAAACATTTTACGCCCTCTCGTGGATTCTTTTCAAAATTTCGAAAAATTATCGATTTTGGAAGGGCAATTTCTCGAAAACCGCCAATAAAGGCAGCACTACGACACATTCGGAGAAAAGTATATACCCAATAGATTTGATTTCACTATAACAAAACAGTGGCAGCATGTTTTGACTTGGCTATATATAATACCAAAATAGCGTGTATTCTCAGTTTATAAACAATGTCGACGTAACAAATTTAAGATGGATTTGTATTTCAACTGAAGCTGCTGGAAAATTGATCAAATATATTTTTCTCTTTGTCACAAATGCATACTGTGCGTTTATTAAACTAAGAATTAATTGGGAAAGTTAAAATATAAAAAAAAACATTTTACGCTTTCTATAATGGGTTCTTTTCTGAATTTCGAAAATAATCGTTTTTGAAAGGGCGATTTCTCAAAAACCGCCAATAAAGGCAGCACTACGACACATTCGGAAAAAAGCAAATACCTTTTAGATTCGACTTCACTATACCATAACAGTAGCAGCACGTTTTGACTTGGCCATTTATAATACCAAACATAGCGTATATCTCAATTATTTGAATAGCGTAGATGTTCACATATTTTAAAAGGTTTGGTATTTCAAATAAACTCACCTAATACCGTAATATTCCGTTTTCTTACTTTTTCAAACACCGATACTGTGTATTAATTAAACTTAGAATAAGATGCAAATTGTATGAAACAGTGAAAAAATGTCTTACAACCTATATATAATTTTTTCAATTTCCCAAACATGCCATTTTTGGAGTGACGATTTCTCGGAAAATGGCCAATAAAGGCAGCAATACGACACTTTTGGAGAATAGCAGATACGTTAAAGATTCGATTTTCACCAAACCAGAACAGTAGCAGCACGTTTTGATTTGGCCATATTTAATACTAAACATAGCATATATTTTCAATTTTATCAACTATGTAGATGTAACATATTTAAAAACGGTTAAGTATTTCAACTAAATTTACTGGATAATTCATCAAAACACTTTTCTCTCTTGGTCATACATCAAAACTGTACGTTCATTAAACTTGGAATTAGTGTGCAAATCTTAAAATGCCAAAAAATGATTTGACGCCCTCTAGTGGATTCTTTTCGGAATTTTGGAAAATATCGTTTTTGAAAGGGCGATTTCTCAAAAACCTCCAATAAAGGCAGCACTACGACACATTCGGAGAAAAGCAGATACCTCATAGATTTGATTCCATTATGTCAGAACAGTAGCAGCACGTTTTGGCTTGGTCATATATGATACCAAACATAGTGTGTATTCAAAATGTTATAAACAATGCAGACGTAACATATTTAAAAACCGTTTGGTATTTCAACTAAATTTACTAGATAATTTATCAAACATCATTTTCTTTTGGCATACATACATACTGTACGTCCATTAAACTTGGAATGAGTTGCGGAAAGTAGGAAATACCAAAAAAATCATTTTACGCCCTCTTGTTGATTATTTTTCAAATTTTCGAAAAATTATCCGTTTTGAAACAGCGATTCTCAAAAACCGCCAATAAAGGCAGCACTACGACACATTCGGAGTATAGCAGATACCTTATAGATTTGATTTCATTATGTCAGAACAGTAGCAGCACGATTTGAGTTGGCCATATATAATACCAAACATAGCGTATAATTTTCAATTTTATCAACTATGTAGATGTAGTTTGATATGGTATGTGTGAGCAGGGTTGTCCAAAACGAATCGAATATTCGAATATATTCGAATATCATAGTATTCGAATACCTTTTCGGCTGATTTTCGAATAATTCCGAATAGTAGCCACTTTTCGCAGTAAACGTGGTGTTTCGTTTTACGGGAATCTTCAAACGACTTTTTACGCTGTCTCACGTATTGTAATGACGATGAAATAGAATCGGCACTTTGATTGTTTATATTCTGTGCGATCGTACGTCGCATAGTGTTGCGACACATTTGCACGTTTGCGTGGGTGGACATTGCCGACATTCGTCTACGAGACTTTTAATTTACAAATTCATTTCCTTCACGTCGAAAAATTGACAATTACCGCTTTTCTAGGCCCAATTTTTTTTTGGAGGGCGTCTAATTGAGAAAGTATGTTTATTTTATTTCTATGTGGCCTGCTTATTAGTCTTCTCAAGCATGATTTGTGTAACCTTATATTTGGGTCTTAGGGTCTGCCAATCATGATATTTAATCGCAGGCCGGTTATCGTTACTTTAAAGAGAAACATGGCCACCGAGTGAAAGTGATTTGTGACCCTTTCGTTTGCCGATTCAGCAGAACACGACAGGGACAGGAAAACACAGCTGTGAAATAACCCGTGGGACGTACAGTGTAGTACTTATCACATTCCCAAAATTATTTTAACATTCGGGTTAATAGGTTGTCCAAAATGATTGCCGCTTTACAACTTAAATTTACCGCTCAATTGTTAAAAATAGTTAATTCTGTGAGTATGATTCTACCAAACTAACATGATCTGGTTCTAAACATATAAAATTATTAGCGCATATCACAGGGACACATTTTTCTACCAGTCTTATTGGAGGCCTATATGGAAAAAAAACTTTTTTGAGTGCTAAAAATAGACATCGTCCTATTTGCCATGTGGACTTATTAGCCGGGAATGACGGTATTTATAGCCGTCATTGTTACGATATCCAATAAATTGGCACAAGTTGGAAAAAACAAGTTGATTTATTAGAAAATAATTTCTGGCAAATAATTCCGATAACGATAGTTAAAAGTATCGATCCTTTACCAGGATGATTTTTTGTTGCGCAAAATAATCCAATCCTTGACTGGTACCAGCATTTAAAATGTCATGTCGTATTAATTTAATTCCGTTCAACGTAACTCATTGTTGTATGGACAATCTGTGGACATAAAATGTGTGGTAAACTGACCGATATTATTAAATATTGATTCCTATTTTCATATTGAGAAAATAATGAAAGTATTAATACCAAATACCACGGGTATTTGTGGACATGAAATACGTGGTAAACTGCCCAATTATATTTAATTTTGGATTCGTATTTACAAAATAATGAAACTATTATAATTCTAAAATGCAACGGCGATCTGTGGCCTTAAAATGTGTGGTAAACTGCCCGATTTACCAACATTTGAGTTATGATTATAGAACTAAATTAAAACGGTAAGGTATTTTAAATAGTGGTATCAGTCATGGATTCGAATATTTAACGCAGCACAAAATCATCCTAGTAAAAAGTCCATACTTTTAAATACAAATCAATGGCAACCATTATCCAAATTAGTTCCCAAAAAGCGGGATAAAGTATAAATTCTTTCTCCGACTTGTGACAATTTTTTCGTGAGTGCGAAAATAAGAATCAAGAACTAATTATATTCGGCACAATATCACGGCAATCTGTGGACATAAATTGTGTGGCAAACTCGCGATTAATATTAATTTTTGATTCCTATTTTTGTATTTACAAAATACAACGGCGATCTGTGGACTTAGAAAAGTCGGAAAAATAACTCATACTTTATCCCGCTTCTTGGCAAATAATTTGGATAATGGTTGATATTTAAAAGTATGGGCGTTTTACTAGGATGATTTTGTGTTGCGCAAATATTCAAATCCATCACCGATACCACTATTGCCGTATTAATTTAATTCTGTTAACATGACTCAAGGTATATAAAATATATACTGCAATAATCTGCAAATATGAAATGCCTGGTAATATAATTAGGTTGTAACTTGTAGATAGCAGTTATTCCATTGCTTATTGTATGGAAATTCCCTACATACATTTAGATAAGCTTCAATTAGTGAATTTTATTTTCGAAGTATTCGAAATTTCATATTCGGAAAAAATAATTTCGAATGTATTCGAAATAGTGAACTATTCGGTATTGGTCATCCCTGTGTGTGAGTAATTCTAATTCCTTTTGCGTTGCCTATACCTGAGTCCAATTTACTATCTATGCATTTGAAGTTACAATGTCCTAACAGCTAGCTTTTGCGAAGCGAACAACGTAGGTCGGTCAAAATATCAATAACTAACATCTTTGTGCTTGCGTCTACTAGGAAGCCTGTGTTGAAGAAAGGTGCAGCCCGCTGTTTCGCTCAGTTATTTGTAATTGGCCCTCCTGTATCAAAGGTTACACCCCCCTTCTTTAGGGTATGTAGTTGGGTTCGTGAATCGGAGGACATGTTGGGACATCGTGATTGTGAAGCCTGTCTGCCCCGGTGGGTGTTGGTGTATAACGATAGGATGGCCTCCGGTCATTGGCTGAGGAAATACTTGTGCTTGTGGAACAATTACAGCTTTCTGTGCAACAGGAATTCTGCATAACTCGGTAACATCATATATTGACCATTTGCAAGTCGAGAATATACAATCTGTGAAGTAAAACTTCAACGGTTCAAGTTCATACAAAATATTTATGTAGTAACTTTAGCTTCACATGGGTTGAGGAAGTTCATGACTGGGCGTATGCAGTGGTGGGATTCAATTTTTTGTCAGACGGTTCCATCACAGAAGTCATATTTTTTAGTAAATAAACTGATTAATGCTAACAGGTTCGCTGATATCATAGAATTCCGTGAGACGGTTCTATAGAACCGGTGCGAACCGGATGAATCCCACCACTGGGCGTATGTACCTAACTGATGGGTGGGTTGAAATTCGTTGTAGATTGTTCTGGTGGTTGTTCATATTCAACGCTCACATACCGGTATCCAGAATTACGGTTCTGAGCCATCGTTTCGAACAAACTTGAACTCTTTTTCAATACATAGGACTTCAACCAGTCCTGTCTTTGTGGGCAGATTACTGTTACCTAGCTACTGTTTAGCCTACGTCACTGAAAAACTAATAATTGCATATTTATTAGATAGTGAACATACAATTATACAAATTTAAATATTCAGAACATTAAGGTAATTAATATTGTATAATCAAACAAAAACTACGGATGACAAAAATCAAAAAAATATACAGTTCTTCAAATCATAAAATTCAGCCTTTTTGAAGCGAAATTAAAATTTTTATAAAATCTGACATGAACAATGATTTAGTAGAAATTCAATTCAAAACATTCAAAATAATGAATATATAGGTACAAAAATCAAAACATAGATAGACAGACATTTTACTCTTTGGTCAGGACTGTGGAGATTTGACTCTGAGGTCCGAATTGTAGATTCTTCGAAACAGAGTTGATAGTGGAGTCAGAATTTCAAGTTCATTGAACCAGTATAACTAAACATGAAAGTTAATACAGCCCAGTACAGTATATATATACGAAAACAAGTATATCTCGTTATTGTCGGATTTTATCACTGATAACTAACTCATTTATCGAGCAAAGCTACAGCAATAAACCCATCCAACCCCAAGCCGATCCATTTCACAGACTAATTCCCATTCACCAGTTTCTTCATTGAATGTTTCAATAGAATCCTTAGTCAAGTTTTCACATCTAGCACCACCGACTGCATACATTTTATTATCAACAACACATGCACTGAACAAACCTCTATTCATCTTCATTTTTGCAATTTCTGTCCATGAGCGAACGACAGGGTTATAACATTGAACAAGGTTGTGAAATCGATATCCATCAGAACCTCCCAGTACATAAACCATACTTTGAAAAACGACTGCTGCACTATTATATGCTGCTTGAATCATCTGTGGCAGGGAAGACCATTTCTTTGTTCCAGGATCGTATACATTTGCTTTTTTCATTGTTGACCAACCTCCCATCGCATATATGAACTCATCAGAGGCAGCAGCACAAAAATCAACACCATGACCACATGAAGGCAAATTCTTATCCCATCTGTTTTTGGCAATGTCATATCGCACTGTATGCTGATCACAGCTGATAATATAAATCCCACCCTTGAGATAAACCATCTTATCGTATCTTATCGTACTCTTCCTTTCAACCTTGGCCCTCTTAATCCATCGACCATCTTGTAGCAAAGACAATTCATTCCCATCTGAAGCATACAATCGTCTCTCAGCATTGACAAGGTGAAAGCCAACATCATAATCTGAATGCAAACTAGACCATTGATTTGTTTGGGGATTCAGAGCCTTTATACCAGTCTTTGTTGAGACAGCAATATGTGGGACAAGTCCGAGTTTCCCAGTCCGAGCTCTGGAATAAGCATCAAGCAATAAATCTTTACACTTATGCGACTCTTTAACCAAAGGTTCATTCCTGACTGTTTGTTTAATAAAATCATCAGAAAATTCCTCAAGTTTCATCAACTCGAACAAGTCTGGAAAAACTTTCTGATGACGACGACTTTGTTTGGCCCATTTCAGTGCAGCTTCCCATTTAATTTTCTCTGGGAAATATTTTGTTTCCTGAGATCTGAACAAGAAAAAAATTTCATTTTTTTCCAACTCAATAAATTCATCCATCCGTACAATCTGCTCAAAATTTTGAGCCATAAATTCATTGATTATATTTCTCACATTCTCTGAGCAAACTTTGTTTTTGAACAGATTAATCTTTCGTAAAATGAATAAAGTGTCGAGAGACAAATTCTCTTTCAACCCATCAATATTGAAAAGCAATTTTTTGATGACAAAACTTTTTGCTTCTGGAGAACTTTCTACCAAAGAATCATTTAGCAGATCAGTGAGCAAAAATTTATAAGGAAACTCTCCGAAATGCAAAGTAACCATTAATTCTGATCCAATCTTTTCACCCTTGTTTGAAATCCATCTTCTCACAGCATGCCAAACTACTTCATGATTTTTATCCAACTTTTGCAGATAGAATATGAGTTCTTCATTGCTGAAATGTAAAAAATCTTCACCCAAAATTAGAGACTGAAAATTATCCACAATGAATTGCTCAGCAATGGTCTGTAGCTCTGTACGATCATAAAGTCTTGCCAACCTGACCACTAGAAGGCAATGCTGCACTGACAGATTATTTTCCATGAAATTAAAGCATATACTTGATAATACATCAAGCTGCATTAAGTGGGAGGCATACAAAGTATTTTCAACAGATTCCATGGATGGATTTGCTTCACCAGTATACATGAAATCTACACACTGCCCTACAGCATCAGCACAAATGTCTTTCATAATGACAAAACCATTCCGAGCCTCAACCATGTTACTTGAAAACATGCCTTTGAAGTACTTTGATACTGCGGCAAGCAAGTCTCGATGGACTTTGAAAGATTTGTCACCAACTTTGATTGTGAAGTTACAAATGCAGTCAGATTGTTTTAGTTCATTGAATGATGAAAGTATATTCAATGAGTGGGTAATCTTTGCAGATTTTTTAAAATCAGCCATGTTCTGTACCTTTTACTGATAAACAATAGCTATAAATCACAGCGAGACGCTGATGTAACTTGACTCTGTAATATTAAAAAAAATAAATATACAGTTAAAGATTTAGGGTGACAACACTATAATATTTTTTTTAATATTTGAATCTTGATAATTTATCGAAGTTTACAAAAGTTACGCAAATTCAAACGACACAAAAATTAACTCCAATTTGTTATACAATGAATATTCTCGACTTCTGCTCTGTACCAAGGATCAAAACAAGCAGCCACTGATATGTAACAGTATTTAAGGCACTATCATTTTTTGAATCTTGCCAACAAATTTTTTTCATGCATTTTTATGCCAGTAACGCTGGCCTCCTCCGCACAGGGGGTAAAATGGTATTTGTAACATTAATGAAAATAGGATTTTAACCTAAATAAAGAATTGATTTGGACGTGTAAGAATATAACACGTCGATAAAGAAAAATTAAAATTTATTTAACTGGGCCAGCTCCTCAAGTTTGGGTGAGCCTGGGGGCATTCAATTTTAACTGAGATGTGCAGTCAACACAGTCGAGAATAATGCCGCTAAGCAATTACGACGTTAGCAAACAGTATTATTAAAAATTGAACAAAAATAACAAATAATCGTGAGAGGAAATATACACTATACAGCAGGGGTGGGCACGGTTTTTGGATCAGGTTACAAAAATTTTGCCAATCTAGACTGGCAGGCCATGTAAGCATGCCGTAAAGAGTTAAATTTTATGAACAATGTTTACAAAAGCAACAGTGGAAAACAATAAACCTCATGACAAAACTAAATTTAATCGCAATCTCAACAAATTCCTTGAGCTATTTTTAACTAAAACATCAAAATTTTGTTTCAGTTTGGTTGTGGCAGCATCAGGCAGGCCAGATTGAATTACCCAGTGGGCCATATTTGGCCCGCGGGCCGTACTTTGCCCATGTCTACTATACAGGGTGTCCTAAAATTCTCGTCCGAGTTTGTAGTGGTAACAATTAAAAATTCTTTGTCTTTGTTTATTAATAGATCTTATTGCGCTTGTGGTTCTTACCATTTATCATGTAATAAAATTTATTTAAATCGATAATTTTTCTTATTATAAAATCAGGCAAAATTTTAACTGTTACTGATTTGGAATTTTTTTGAAATTCTGTATATACCGTATTTTCCAGCGAATAAGTCGCTTTTCTAGGCCCAAATTTTTGGCCTGATTTTTGGGGGGTCGTCTTTTTAGGTGAGTATGACAATTTTCATTTTTTTGGTGTCGTCTTATTATTCAATTCGGACCATAAAATACCCACTATCTCATTAGGTTAGTAAAATAAATCGCCATTCTTGTGCTGTAAATCTGGAATTTCAATGCTGTGATTATCATATTTGAAGTTGCCACATTTGTGTGTGCATCCTGTATATACCGTAGATTTTATTTCAAATAAATCATCAATAATTCTAATTTCAGTTTCAAAGTAAATACTTCACAATTATGAAATACACAGACACATATGTTCTATATTAGTGAACATGGCTCTGCTTTAAAAAAAAGTTGGTAAATGTGAATGAAGTGGGGAGTAGCACACTCAGCTCTCGTCTAAATGACTGACAACACACAAACTTAGGTAAATGGAAGGTATAATTAGCAGGCAAAGAGAGATTTTCAAAGTCGGATTGTTCAGATTGTATTCTTTAGCACAGAGGTTCCCAGAAGTGAAATTAGATTAGCCAGAATTTGAGCGGAGCGCCCGCAAGGGGCCGATACCGGTACGTACAATTAAGATACCGGTATATTTGAATTGTTGAAGAAAAAAGGAGAGTGTGCAACGTGCCGATATTAAAGTGTTACGAATATACACATGCTTTATTAACAATTGGAGCTATCTAGATTGCAGAAAAAAACGTGATTGTTACAATTATTTCACTCAAGTTCGGCAGGCCATATTAAATCTTTCACAAACTGTAATTGGCCCACTGCTTGGGAACCACTATTATAGACTCTTGGACAGTCAGGACAGAGTACACCTCAGGTTGCTATATAGCTAAGATTGGTGCTCATGCTCAATAAACAAAAATATGAAACAAATATATTCTAAATATTTTACTTTGAAATGGAACAAAATATAAACAGGAATGATTGAATAAATACCGTAGTTTATGATTATAATTGTGTGATATGTGTTGGATTCGAAAAAGTAATATTTACACCACAACCTGTCAATTTAGCAATGGAGGATTTTGCGACGAATGAGCACTGTATTCTGGTGGGTTAAGCTGTGCCTCTTGCTCTTTTGTCATTGGTTGGGTCGGTGGGTAGGGCGAAACCCCTTCAGTTTGTTGAGGCATTTGGTTAGCATTATAATAAGAAGGTCCAGGCATCTGCAGTGCTGGGTAGTTCTGGGGAACATTGACTGGAACCATCATATACTGACCATTTGCAAGTTGAACCATTTGTGGCTGGGAATACGCTGGCTGTGAAGTGTACATCACAACACCTTGGTAAGGTTTCTTTATGCAACAAACACCAGCACAACAGAATGATGAATGTACAATACATATTACCATTCCTATAAATCCAATCACTGCTATAATGCTGTGTAAAACAATATAACTAACAGCGAATTCTTTAGGTTCCACAATTCCAGCACAAATACTAGATATTATACATAAAGTTGCCATAAAAAAAGAAGCAACAATGGCAACAACCATATTAGCAACGTACATGCAAACCGATGAATGCTTTCGAGCTTTTATTCCGAGTACACCGGGTGCTATTATAGCAGCTCCACACCATATTCCTTGTCCGAGATCATTCAGGTCATAACGGATTCTCCAATAATATGAACACTCGTCATCAAAGTCATAATCCCGATATGTTGTTTTAGTTCGAGCAATTACCAATGTTGCAATACATAAAATAACAGACAACGACCCCAAGATGACTTCAGTAATTCCTAGGTTGAATAAAACATTTTTGTATTTTTCTCTTGGATTTGCACAGGAAGCTGGTTGCACTTGTGGTTGCAGAACGATGGATTGCAGTGGAACTGTCAATGATGATTGTACGGTTGGTGAAGTAGTATTATCCAATGAGGCAAAATCAGAACTTTGAATCATCGTGAAATACAAATCTATATATCTACGTTTATTTGCCGCTAAAATCTAACATTATCTGCATAATTGAACAGTATAACAGAGACAGAATCTAGTTAAACCAATTTCAAGTTTTTATGTCCCACAAATACATTGTTTCTCAACCTGTGTTCAAACGAACCCCATACTTGGTCTGATGCCTAGGCTATTAATGGTTTGCATTTCTATAACCTTGCACAAAATTAACTTCAAATGTTTAAATAGTTTGGGTTCGACGGAAGCTTGAAGAATAGCATATGGGTTCGGCAGGTTCGCAAAGGTTAAGAACCATAGCACTGGTTTCACAATGCATTGTTAATTTACTTCGTAATCAGCATAAAGGTAATGAATAGAGATTATAAATATAAACAACAACACACTTTAGATCTTAGATATGATAACCAGGTCTATTTTCATTCAATCCCTCACAGTTCTGGGATTTCAATTATGCAGGTAACTATAAACTCGGTAACTCCTCTTTTACAAGACAGTAACTTTTTGAAAAATGATGCATAACGGCCCCCTTCCATTTTTTCCGATGACTCGCGGTCCACTGAAGAAATGAAAGCAAATAGCAACGCACTATATCAAGCATTCCATCTATTGAATGACATTAAAACAGTTCAATGAGATGGCGCCTGCTTGGCTCCCACTGGTTCTCTTACCTTGGATTCTGTTTTGGATATTGCAACTCTCATATCGTGTCCCACTTATCTTATCCTTACCTTAATCTTATCCTTACCGTACAGAGGTACCGTCCGTAACTAGGCTATTTCCATACCGTACGGTACCGGTACAGAACATACGGTACCGTACCCTAGCCATTGTAACAAGATCAGCGACTCTGGTTCCGCACGCGACAAATTAGTCTCGTAATGCTAATGCTATTTTCGCGCCTCTCAATGCCCAGTCTTCAACACTCTAATTCAGGGGTCTCAAACTCGCTGGGGGTTTGTGGCCCCCGCCTTGGTATTAAAGTTTAATGTTAGTGCGGCCCGGCCCGCAAGTCACTTAGCTCAGTTGGCATGATTATTGCTTTTAATGTAACAGCGTTTCCCAAACTGTGTTCCGCGAGCATCTCCCAATTGTTGAAAAAATGAAATTGGTCGCCATGGCGATCTGAGTATCATGAAGTTGTTAACCAACTGACCGTTTAAAATTGCGTCACTGTCGGCCTAAAGTGGACTAACTAAGTTAGGTTAGGGTAGTGGCATTTTCGTTAACCGTCGGTTTAGCTTTTTGACTGTTAACTTTTGGTATTGTTAAAGACAAACAAGTAATTCTGAAGAATAAATGCAAAAGGTGACCGTTCTTCCTTCATCTCTACCTGGTTTTACTTTGAAATTCTGAAAGTTTGTCGCGCATTTGCAACTCGCCACGGCGAAACCATTGGGAACCGCTACATTGCACCGTTTTTCTTTATCAATATCTCCCTTTCATTTTTTGGTGTTCCGCGAGGAGATATAAAAACTGTAAATGTTCTGTGGTCTAAAAAGGGAAACTCTCACGTAGGGCAAAACAAAATATTTTATCATCTATTCCCTGAAAGAAAGATGCGGTGCGGTAACCTAACAGTACCATACCTGTAGGCCTGATATTCGATCACGGGACCGCCTGAAACAATTTAAAAACAGTGTTCCATGATTTTTGACGTCACAATCACTAATGCTTAGATTTATCTTGATACATTGTAACCATGTTTCCCATGTGGCAAAACATCACTGTCCATCGGCTAAATGCTTGATTGCAACATCAGCGCAACAGTTATTACAAGATAGAATTTTATAATATTGCACATCTCTAAACGTGTCGTTGGAACTGAAGTTTCAGTAAACAGACATTTTCAAAAAACTGGGAAATGCAATATTTCTTTGTTGGGCGTGGGAGCATCCCAACATGTTTTATCTGCACAATTAAAGTTGCAGTGCACGAGGAATACAATTTAAACTAATTGCTCAGCTTTTATTGTGGAAAACCTGATGCGGCCCGGACTCATTCGAGACTCTGCCCCAGCGGCCCCCAAGTAAATTGAGTTTGAGACCCCTGCTCTAATTGAATAACATTGTTAGCAGGTTACCGCGGCGGTGTGGCTCAACGGTCTAAGCGTTAGGAATACGCTCGCCACCGCACCTCTAATTACTCTGCGTGGGTTCGCAGGTTTGAATCCCATGCAGCGATGGTTATGTGCGAGAGGATTGCTGGACTCCTCGCCGTCGTTGGGTGGCCGCTGGTCGGTTACGGCTTCCTCCACCACCAAGTCCATGCCTCCGAAAACAAACAATATAACTAATCCCATACCCGACTTGGAATGGTAACCGGACGAGAGGCCGTGGTTCGCCATATGGATAAGCCGTCTTATCGGCTTTCCTCTCCCCCGGGATAAATATGTGAATCCTATCCTATCCTACCTTCACCAATTTACGCCCTTCAGCATTTCTGAACTTGTTTACCCGATCATTCGGGGAATACCCTCGAGTTACGTGGGGTCATCTCATATAACCTCGGTCTTGTTGGTAGTTCAGCTGCCAAATCCATATACACAAAAGGTGATAGTTTCCTAAAAATTTAATTCTACCTTACAAATTTGATTAGATGAGTGTTGAATTCTATTCATTGTTTTTTCTATTTCGTGTGTTATAATAATAATACAGTATATTAAATTTTTCTAAACTTTTCCATCGCAAAATTGCCGATGCTTATTTTGAGCAATGAGCATATATACAATGAGTGGAA